ATATATATATAGAAATCTATATCTATCACTTTAGGTGATGCAAACAACTATTTGGTGAACAAAACTAGACTCTGTTGCAACATGTTGCGAAAGAATTCAACACTCATTACTCGATTATGATTTGGTATCTTATTAACTTATGTTATTGATCATAGATTTATTTTGTGTCAAAACTATTTTTTTCTCCGCAATGTTAACTTTTATAAAAAGAAGCTATTTAACTCAAACATTGTATATGTGATATAAACTGAATATGAGGTTGCTGTTGTACCAGAGGAGCGGAAATCAGTATCTTAGGGTTATAAGGTTTAAACAAAGTCTAAACCAATTTCATTCAAATGCAGCGATATACATTATTTTTAAGAAAAACTGTCCATTTAATTTCATTAAATTATCAAATTGACGAAAAAAATTATACCATAAGTAGTACATGTGAGCTGGGAAAATCAAAGATCAGAAAATTCCTCCAAACCGTATATTAAAAAATGTTGCATTAAACATCCATTATTAAATGATATCGTGATTAAATTACAATCAAATTTGGTATCTTCTTGACTTATATTAAAGGCCATAAACTTAGTCTCAGTTTTATTGCTTGAAGTGAGATATACATAAATATGAATGTGATATTAACTCCACCAAAGTGGCTAAATTTTATATTATAAGCTTAGATAGCAAACGTCAACCAGAGAGTCGGAATTCATTATATAAAGGTGTGAGGTTTAGACTTAGTATATACTAATTTCATTCTAATTCAGCGTCAAACCACATAATTTTTAAGAAATATTTTCCACTTAATTTCGTTAAAATATCACGTTGATCAACCGGAACGGTGTAAAGTCAGGTGGAAAGACGGAAATCATATATATTGGGGATAGAGAAATATATTAATTTTGACATTGCTCAGCATACTCGAGAACATATTTTGAAGCAATTTTATATATAAAAAAAAATATTAATACTCACTGACCGACATATTCGGAATAAAACTGGTTAGAATAACGAAAAGAATTACATACTAACTGTCACAGACTAATAAAATGCTCCCACTGTTTCATTAAGGTACCTCACATACCATCACCAATCAAATGGAGTAAAGTCAGACGAATGTTCGAAAATCCTGATATTAGTTACATGGGGGCTAAGGAAAATTTTCAACCGATTTGATCTTGTTATGAGTAAAACACGCTCTCTCATTTTCATTTGGATAACTCACATATGCGGTATAAAGTCCGGAAGTTCAAAAATATTTATATTAGATATATGAGGGCTACAAGAAATATTGATCCGATTCAACCCATTTTTGAAACAAAGACATACTATTATCGATAGTTTCATTTATTTATTCTATTATATGAATTTCAATTATATATCTTACACAATGGCCCATATATTTTCGGTAAAAAGTCAACTATAGGTACTGGGGTCCACATATTCATTACCTAGGGGCTTGGTTCGATTTAGAGAATTTTTGGTCACAAAGTGGCATACTTTAAACGTATTATTCACGCAAAGTTTTACGCCGATATAATAATTTTTGCTTGATTTGCATAGGGGAAAGTGAAAGAATCAAATGGAATTTAAAATGGTGTCATATGGAAAATAGGCGTGGTTGTAATCTTTCGCATTTCGCCCATTTTCGCACCATAACATAAAAATAAAAAAAGAATGTTATGTATCAAATTTGGTTGAAATCGGTTAAAAAGATCCCAAGATATAGGTTTTCACCTAAAAGTGGGCGGTGTCACGCCCACTGTCTAATTTTGAACGCGGTTCCTATAAAGTCATCTCATACCATCCCTGAGATAAAATTTAATGTCTCTGCCGTATTTAGTGCTTGATTTATCGCGCTTTCAGTAGTTTTTAACAGTACCGTTACATGGGGAGTGGGCGGGGTTGTCACCCGATTTCACCCATTTTCACACCGTAGGTAGAGGTGCTAAAAACATTTGCTTCCAGTGAATTTTGTTATTATAGCTTTAGTAGCTTAGGAGATATGCACATTAAACCTATTAGGGGCGGGACCACGCCCACTTAAAAAAAATTTAAACTGCAGATGCCCCTCCCTAATGTAGTCTCGTGTACCAAATAACAGTCTTGTATCTTATTGCGGAGCTTAGTTATGACAATTTATTTGTTTTTGATTAATGACGTTTTGTGGGCGTGGCAGTGGTCCGATTACGCCCATCTGCAATACCAACCGTCTTACTGTACCAAGAAACATGTGTATTAAGTTTCAAAAAAGTTATCTCAATTTTTACTCAAGTTACAGCTTGCACGGGCGGACAGATGGACGGACGGACAGACAGTCACCCGGATTTCAACTCGTCTATTCATCCTGATCATTTATATATACATAACCCTAGATCTAACTCGATTAGTTTTAGGTGATACCATTGCCACCGATTATAAAAATTTTGTTGACCTAACAGTTGTTTCTTTCACCTAAATCTAATTGAGATAGATATGGAGTTATATATATGTATATAAATGATCAGGGTTACGAGAGGAGTTGAATTCCGAGGAATTTTCTGTCTGTCCGTCGGTCCGTCTGTCAAGCGAAAACTTTAGCAAATATTGAGCTTTCTTGATGAAACTTGCTACACATGAAACTTGGTACGCAAGGAGAGTTGGTATTGCATATGGACGGAATAAGACCAATACCACGCTCACAAAACGAAATTAATCGAAAACCAATAAAGTGCCATTTTTAAGCTTCACAATAAAGGACAAGATTGTTGTTAAGTACAACGAATATCATTAGGGAGGGGCATCTACGGTTGACATTTTTTTTAAAGTGGGTGAGGCCCCGTCCTCGAATAAATTCAATAAACATGTCTCCAAACCCTTCAAGTTATAATAAACAAATTTGCTCAAGACAAATATTTATTGTTTGCCCATCCACCCTGTGAAAGTGGGTGACTATTTATTATAAAAATATATCTTATTTTAGTTGTTTGAAATATACTTACGGAATCTATCCCCTCTATACTCTTCGTGTTGTTAAATATACATATGTTCTTTAAGTACGTCCTAAAATAAGTACAAAAAAAATAGATAAATACAAATTTATAAAATAACATACAATTTTGTCAACTTACCTTCGCTCTTAAGAAACAAATGACCGCTATGAAATGCATGATTTGCATGGAATAGGAGCACCACTGCCGGAATCCAGTCGCTGTGCACGTTTACATTTTCTGTACGTGTCACGCAGTCCTTTCCATCGTTTCCTACAGCTGTCTTCTGCAAATATTTATAATACTTAAGAATAAAGTTTACAATAAAACAGGCTTTTCTTTGACACACCCGGCAAATTTATTATTTTAGCTACTTCTTCCCAAATTTGGGTTTTTTTAAACACATTTTTGTAATCCGGTGATGATAAATTGTATAGGCACTCATATTTACGTATTTCCTCTATTAATTGTTCGTTTAAATCCATTTTATTTGCTTATAGCAACCTAGTGCATACATCGCTGTTAAAAATATTACAATGTTTTGATTTTGAAATTGAAATGACGAAACCAAGCAGAAACACTCTTAATATTGCCAACGCAGACATTTTCTGGAATTTGTTTTGAAATTTCTAAAGATTTTACTGAAAATAAACTTTCTTTGATATGGCAATGCCGTTTTTGCCGCCGCGGTCGGCGATAAAATTAAAAATAGCTCTATCTCAAAAATCGTTATGATGGGGAAGTGTCCTTAAAATCCCTCCTGAATCCCCTTTGGACGGAAAGGACAAACTGAAAAGCAGCTCTTTTCGGTATCCCAAGCATTAATTTTTAAAAAATTTATACTATGTTCGCACCAAATTGAAATCCTCTTGAAAACACAATTTGTGGATTGTGGAACCAAAGTCGTTCTGACCGTCATGTTGTGTTTTCGATGAGTTTTCATTGACAGTTCACACATCTATTTGTTTACATTTGTTATGT